TCGATCCTCGTCAAGTCCTCCTTCCCCACCACTATATGAATAATCACGTAATTTTCCCAACCAAACTTCTTCAGCCAAGCATGAAGTTTGAGGGCATTCACAAATTTCCCGAATACCACACATCTAACATGCCCGGCCCACCTAGTGATCACCCTCCTTATAGTACACCCCACGTAGATGTGCGTGCAAAAAGGGATGGCAACTAGATATACGCCCGGTACTTTTTCGGTCGCTTCGTCGTTCATAAGATGAAGCCATTTCCTCATCCATGGGAAGTGTCCTTGGATGGATAGCAGCAAAAACAGACGAGTAACTTGGTCCTTCAGTGCCAAGTGTACGAGCCTCCCTTCCACTCCCATCCTATCCAATTGACTAACCATCGTACTTCTGAGTTCCTCGATGCTTCTTACTTACCACCTAGGTTCAATGTAGCTTGCCCCACAAAGTTCTCATATGCAAGCTTCGTTTTGCACCTCACTAACTCGCACACCATCTCTTTCTTCGCACAAGGGAGCCCGCCCTTACAGCACAACTTCCTGAGTTCGGCCACTTTCTTAGCAGACGCGTTTATGCACCTCCAACGCATACTTGAGCATCCCTTCGTTCGAACATGTCGCTGCCAGACTCTTCTTAGGCGTATTTAGATTTTCTTTGTCTGCCTTGATACCGATTACTCCTTTGGGGCCATTCTTCCACGACGAATGCTCACCATCTGGAGAATCCCTTCTCCTCTTTCCCGTCTTTTTCCGATTGTCAATTGACATCGATCAGCTTGCTTGCTTCCTCCTTGACTTCTTCACTGTCATCGTCAGATTCATCCAGGTAGCTGCGAATTTCCCGTAGCATCCTAACTTTCGACCTCGGGGACTTCTTACTTACCTCAGCTTCCATCATAGGCAGCGCTGCTGCTTTTGCTGAGTGAGCAGCCTGGTGATAGTCTTCTCAAGACGCGCCTCTATAGCTTCGACTTCCCTTAACTTCTTCGATTCTCTTCTCTGGTCCTCCTCGTACTTCCTCCTTGCTGCCTCTTCACACGCTCCTCGATCATTTTCCTCCTCCTCCCTTTGGATCGCCCTTTTGAAGTATTCTCTCATTTCAGAGTCTGCTTCGAAGGTCTGCTGCAACCCTGGTCAACCATTTAACGTGGGACTCGCAGGATCGATCCCGACACTGCTGATTGCTGACTAGGCATCATCTTGCCTTCTTCGTTTCCTTGCCCGTTCCCTCCTTACTCTCCAGTCCCCGAGTAAACAACCAACACTGTATACGCGCCCGAGGACCCTATCCAGTTGGGATAACAATTCTAACTTGGTATCTTCCTCTCTCGTGAAGGGCAATCAATGTGCATAAGTGGAAGGAAGTCGTTAAGTTCTCGTTCGAAATCCGCCCATAATCTTTCTAGTTCAAACTCTCTAATATCTCGCCTTATCATCCCTAAAAACCCTGGTTAAGCACAAGCGGTTGCCAGGTAGCTGAAAATTCAGGAATGAAAATTCTGAAGGGAGAGTTTTGGGCAGTCTGAAAATCTTGAATGGTCATGAAGTGGTGAAAGGTCGGAAGACCCTGAAACCACCTATTTAGGCAGGCTGCATCTTGAAGTGGTGAAGGTTGTCCTGAAGTGGTCAAAAAGTTTTGGGCAGTCTGAAAATCCTGAATGGTTCTAAAGCGGTGAAAGGTCCGAAGACCATGAAAACCACCCTTCACCACTTGAGGATGCAGCCTGCCTAAACAGGTGGTTTTCAAGGTCTTCGAGGCTTTCACCACTTCAGGACCATTCAGGATTTTCAAACCTGAATGGTCCTGAAGTGGTGAAAGGTCCGAAGACCTTGAAAATCACATGTTTAGGCAGGCTGCATCTTGAAGTGGTGAAGGGTATCCTGAAGTGGTGATGAAAAATACGACTGTTGTTAACCTTCTCTCCGATTAAGGATATACTCAGGTTAACTCTTCGAACCCTATCACAACCCACTCGAGAGTAGTATAATCCATCACTCAACAGGACAAGCCCGATCAAACACATAGGCACCACGATAATCCTTCCCAAGAACCTTGGTTTCATCACTCAACAGGACAAGCCCGATCAAACACATAGGCACCACAATAATCCTTCCCAAGAACCTTGGTTTCATCACCTGTCACCCCTATGACCTTCCGGCGAAAAAAGGAGTGTATGCTCCCGAGCATCCAAATTGGACATCTCGCCTGATCATCCGTAAACACTCTGGCTAAGGATATACTCACGTTAACTCTTCGGTCCCTATCACAACCCACTCGAGAGGAGTATAATCTATTACTCAATAGGACAAGCCCGATCAAACACACAGGCACCGCAATAATCCTTCCCAAGAACCTTGGTTTCATCACCCATCACCCCTATGACCTTCCGACGRAAAAWRKACTCACGTTAACTCTTCGGTCCCTATCACAACCCACTCGAGAGGAATATAATCTATTACTCAATAGGACAAGCCCGATCAAACACACAGGCACCGCGATAATCCTTCCCAAGAACCTTGGTTTCATCACCTATCACCCCTATGAAAACCTCATAATTATCTCGTGAGCAGGTAGTTACAAGACTCGTCGGACTACACGTCTACCTTGATCACACCGTGAAGTGTGCCGAAAAGTATGGTACAACAACAAAAGAAAAAGAGAGAAGCTCAACCCCGTTTGCACCTATACCATCCAATCGCTAATGAACGATTCTCGCTTAAGGTGTGGAAATCACTCCAGGGACAAGGAGCCTGAGTCGAGGATCAGGGCGACCATAGGCGAAACGTGAAATTAGGCCGATTCACCTCTCCCCTTACCTCTCCGAAAACCGATCGGCTGCTACATCAGCTGGTCACACAACCTTCCCCATTCCCAATCACCCTCGACCCATCCGAAGTCAACCCCAACCGTAGAAGTTTGTACCCTTGGATGAAAGTCTCCACAATGATGAAACCTCCTGATCTGGCGAATCCATACTTGACGCTGATCCGTACCCGATGCCAGTCACAAGGTAGATTACTGGACGATAATCACCACATGACTATGACACCCGTGCGGAGGAATCCTAGGGAGATTTCCCATGCCAAGTCTAGATCTCGGTTGGAGAGAGAGGGTTAAGGCCATCCCTCCCTCGTCTTTAAATACCAAAATTCCTTTCTCATCTCAACACCACTCCCCATACGTTTCTTTCTTCCAACTCCCATACGCAATTCCCTACACGCGTCCAGACTCTGGTAACTACTGAGAAAAGCACATCCCACATTTTCCCAGATACGAGCCGAGCAACCTCAAAAGTCATATCCATCCTTATAACCAGCTGCGCACCAGTTTCTCCGGCGCGCCTCACATACCCGTAATTAGATATGTCGCTGTGATACACCTTCAGAGTATGAAGATAGCAATTGCGTCAGCGGATAAGACGACGACAGTGGAAAACGGAGAAAACCTGATAGGTTCATGAGGAGTTTCGACGTCGCTAACCGCTGGGATCATCCTTACTCGACGATCCTCATGCAAACTCACCTTTTTTCCACAGACGGGCAAACTCATCCTTCCCTCATGGTGTGAAACTCGCACGGCGGCCCTTCACTGGTGTGTGCCCGAGCTACATGCTGACTTCAGTAAAAACCGGTCCCTAAAAACTCTCTCCATTCTTACAGGGCCGTAGGCGTAACCCTTCCCTGTGGTCGGACAAAATCAGCAGCGCAAGTATCCAAGGGCCGTAGTGTCACAAAATTGCTTCACTGATAGCCCAAGTCCCAGAAAAAATTCTACAGTCTTTTTACTTCCTCAGGACCATCCCACAGTCATCCACAGAGTGGAACAAAAGAACCAGACCCACAGCTGAAATACAGGGACCCGTACAAAATGAACTTATCGTCAAGCTGAAGGTAAGGACGTGAAATCTTTCAAGCTGGGGTAAGGGTCAAGGAGCAAAGCCCCCCACCTACCACCAGCTATCCTAGCAAATTGAGCTAGGGATCCAAGAGAGAGAGAGAGAGAGAGAGAGAGAGAGAGAGAGGCCTGGCGATTTTGACGCGGCACTCCGCGCAAGGCGCCCTCTCTCTCTCTCTCTCTCTCTCTCTCTCTCTCTGATTCGGGAAAGAATGTTCCCGCGTTTGTGGGAAGATTCATTCCCGTTTTGCAAATTACGACTGCTTCCGCGCAGTCATAATTTGCAATTCATTCTCGCAAACCCGGGAAGATTCGTTCCCGTTTTGTAAAAACCTCTCCCTCTCTCTCTCTCTCTCTATCTCTCTCTCGCTCTCTCTCCGACGTTCCCGTTTTGTCTCTCTCTCTCTCTCTGACCTTCCCGTTTTGTAAAAAAACTCTTCTCTCTCTCTCTCTCTCTCTCTCTCTCTCTCTCCCTGCTGCGCCCGTCTTTCCCGTTGGTTTTCTTTCTCTTTTTTTTTTTGCGCTTTCGACTCTTTTTTTTTTGTTTTTTCTCAACTTTCTTTGTTTTCTTGGTACCGGTCGTTCAGTGCCCGACCCGCGGTGCGTTAACGGCCACGTCGGAGAAAAATAGCTGGGCGAGGTACTGGTGGTTTAATTACTCCAGGGGCAAAAATTTCACAGTTTGTGTCTATATATGTCCGTGTGAATTGTGGCATCATGTGTACAAAAGCGTGTCTGCTGCACCATTGCCTGCGGCCCTCCGGACTCTCAGGACTGCTTGTGCAGATTTGACTTAATTCTTCGCCGGAAGGCGGAGAAACCAGAGGAGGGGGAACGGAAGAGCAGAAAGAAACAGCAAAGGAGGGCCAAACAGGAGGACAATCTAACACAGTAGAGTGTAATCAAACGTGGTACGGCATTACCATCAAGAACGGATGAGAAAAGAAAAACTCTAGCTTCTATGCATCATGCTTATCTCATTACAACATACTCAGTACTACTACCATCTTCACTGGAATACTACCCGTCATAAACACTGTATCAACTAAAGTTGCACAAAACACGGATAAAATGACCAGGCACTCAATTTGGGGGGAAATGGTACCTACCTTTCAAACTGGTGGCTGTCGCATCTTCTTGTGCTGCAACTCCTCCCTGGCGTTCCGTGTTCTGTCCCGACCCCACTTCAGAAACCTCTCTGCTGGTGTCGTGTTTCTGATCAGCTGGCCTTTCAGGCATAACTGGAATTACTGGCATTTCGATCACATCTCCACACTCTGCACCAAGTCGTGCATCCAGATCTTGCTCACTCTCTGTATGTCGGCAAATGAACCACAATTCACATTTTTTTGAACAAAAAATGACGCATCTCAGCTGCTCCTCGCTCTTAAGAACGTCGGACCCTCCAGACTCCGGAAAAAATTGACCTCAATGTAGTTGGTTAAACTTGGTTTCCATTTTTTTAGCATTCTCACTTCTGATATCTCCAGCTGTTTTCACAAACAGCCTTCTTCAACTTACAGAACGTTTTCGTTCAGAAGAATTTAAACTGTCCATTTTCACGGGAATGCTGTTACATACCGTTTTTTTTTTTTTTTTTTGGTCCGGTTCTCGATTCGTGTGTCATCCTTGTGCAGGGGCCATGGTAATTTTCTTTGTGTCGCTCCAATTTTAACAGATGCCGCAAAGCACATATCACATAATGTTTTCCTTTCCAGAAGTTATTTTCCGTGAACAGTACATTTACTGCATTACACTTTTCTTAATTGCATTGCCATCCACAAAAAAATACATAAATAAAGACAAAAAATCCATAACCTTAGGTGCTTATATAAAAGATGACAAGCTCACAATAAATCAATCCAACCAATCACATCAAATCAAAGAACCAATCACATCACATCAAAGAGTCACTCCCACGTGTAACCAATCACATCAAGGAACACTCTCTCTACTATCCATATATGCAAGCAGACACCGTGCGGAAAACTCCACACATTTGGTGCACAAGTGGACCCACACGGTTTGGTGCACAGGGGAAACATTCACTCAAAAAAGAAGAAAAAGGGGTCGCATGGCTGGGTCAATGGTCACCTGCGTCCCCTTTAAGGATTTGTTGTGAGATGGGGACAAAAAAAAAAAGAACTAGTGGGACTGTGGGAGGGTAATGGCGCTACCTAAAGATCAAGACTGATGATGTCCCAGACACCTTTTTGAGGCTATTTCTCATGCCCAATCGGACAGAAAGAAAAATCTGTACAACTGTACTTGAAATAAGTTTTGGTGAGGGGCGGTGGATGAAGTCGATCGTGGGCCGGGGAGTATGCAGAGGGGTGCGCGTACTGAAATGTTCACAGCACACCATTAAATGAGAGCATGTGCCCTGGGGGTGGGGCACATGGCTGTCTTTGATGCGGACGAACATCTTGGAGGCGAGCCATCCGATATGCGGGCAGCTTCTTCTTTTTGTTTTTCCCCAGTTAGACGTCGTTTTGTGTCGTCCTCCTCCTTTTTTCATTTCTTGCCCTGTCATGTCCCCCTTTTTTTTCCCTTTTTTAAAGTCTTTTTCCTTTTCCTTCCTTTTTTCATTTCTCGGGCGGCTGTCATTTTGTGCCCCCCGGTAGGCGGTCGTTGTTTCTGTGAACGAACATCTTGGAGGCGAGCCATCCCAAACGCAGTGTGAGGTCACCCACTGCATTTGTTATTTCTGCGGACGTAGCCCGCACTGACCACACCGGTAGGCGGTCGTTGTTTCCGTGAACGAACATCTTGGAGGCGAGCCATCCCAAACGCAGTGTGAGGTCACCCACTGCATTTGTTATTTCTGCGGACGTAGCCCGCACCTGTCTCTTATACACATCTAGATGTGTATAAGAGGTCACCCACTGCATTTGTTATTTCTGCGGACGTAGCCCGCACTGACCACACCGCGGGCACTTAGCTAGTTTATAATAATGATGAACTCAAACAGTTTCAGCAAAGTAGTACTAGGCTTCACTCTCACAGGGAATACAAGTTATACACAAATGCACACTCCCAGGCAACGGCCACAGCAGGTCATCACCCTTCTGCCTATTGCTGCTCAGCATCTCAGGTGATGTTGAAACCTTATATACCTCGTGTCTACTTGAAAAGCTCATCTCCTCCTCCTCGTGTGTCCTTCGCCTCATGATTCTCCATGTCCAGCCTCCTTCCCCTTGCAGCTTCCTTCACAATGTCATGCTGTCTGCAAGTGGTCACTACGCCAGCAAGACAGCCATTCCTGTTTTTCCAAGTTATGCCTTCCACATCTCTTTCTGCCTTGAGTTAACCCTACCCGTCGGATGCTCCATAAGTTTCGGCTCATTGAATCAAGTGTGGGCTCATTGAATTAAGTTTGGGCTCATTGAATTAAAAGTTGGGCCCGCTGAATTGGGCTCATTGAATTGTCCAAGTCGGTCAGAACCAGAACCGGTATTTCTTGACTTAACACTACCGGTGGTGTGAAACTGAAATACTTGGTACATGTTGATTTGAAGGTCTACTTCGCCGATCTGTCCTCGTTACATAGGGTCTAGGGTCTAGTGCAATGACTTGCTGTTTCTGGTCGCCTGTAGCCTCTCACCAAGAGGCTGTACCATAGGTAGGACAGATTCGTAATTTTGTTTGGCTGAGGGCTAACCGAGAGACCTACCTGTAGGGGAAATTAGTGAGGGACATATCTGCAAATTTGGGATAATATAGGCCCAGCACTAACTGAATTTCCTACTGCTACCCTAACTGCGAATAGCAGGCCCGGGCTACCCCTAGGACAGAGGCCCTAAAGACCTATGCTAATAGACGGTCCTATAGCCTATAGCCGGGTCAGGTAGCGGCCGAGAGGCTGAAACAGAATGGGTACCGGTCCGTCAGTCAGTCCGGTCTAGGTCGAGTCTAGGATATTTTAGTCTATAGATAGGATGGGCACATCGGTTCAGGGCTTTTGGCAGTTGCTACCGATTACATCGCTGCTGTGCGCGTGAACCGGAAGTGGTGACGGCTCAGCGTTGTGGGAGACAGACAGCCAGACCTTCAGAGCGTTGGCCATGGCTGGGACCTGCGCTGTACTCTTCCAGCACACGGGCTGTCAGAGGTCTGGTTTATTGAGGTCTGCTGGAGGCGAGAGAAGTTGGTGCCCTGCTGGACCCTCCTCCGGAGTGGGGACACAGGGTTGTGGCACTGCAGCCATAGCTGTAGCCCCTTCCTCAGAGGTCGTCTTGTCAGGATTTGGTGGCGCTGCTGCAGACTTCCACCCGGGAAGTCTTTCGACACTTTGTCATCAGCGCTGGTCTACTTCTTCACCCTCTGAGTGGCGCTTGGCCTCAGAGGCCTGTTTCAGGGTGGCGCTTCCCTCTGGAGGCAATAATTGGGCGGCGTTTGATGTTTCAGGGGCTCAGGGGTGTCACGAGTGGTTACTCAGGGTTGGGGAGTGAAGCGCTGCTCATTTCTGAGCAGCTCACTGTAGGTCTGAAGTTCTTCTGACAATTTGAGACTCTGAGTTTAATAAACAGTGTGATACTGGGTTTGGACTATCATCGTTTCATTGTTTCTTGGATGTGGTGTACTCGGCTTTCCTTTATGACTGGTTGTGAGGATTGAGTGGAGTGAATTGCACTTTCAGTGTACCCTGTGATATCACATGATCAAGTCTTCCGCTGTGTTTATCTCTCCCTGTGCGGTGTGATACTCCTATCCTCTCCCCTTCCTTCTGTGTATGTATGGGCATACCTGGGAGTTCATGTGAGTGAGTGTTGGTCTTCAGACAGCAGACAACCAGAATCATAACACTAGGTTTAGGGTTCAGGGTAGCCGAAAAAGAAAAAAAGTGTAGTGCTGGCAGTGCTGGCGATTCAGAAAGCTTGGCACGCAGTGCAGCGCCTCCAGGACTGGGTGTACTGATGGTTTAAACCACCACTACCTTTCACAGGCAAACTCAAGCGAACATCCTTCTTCGGAGGTAGAGTGCCATTGGACCAAAATGGCTGGCGGTGCCAGCCAAAACAGAAAAAAGAGATATCAGCTGGCGCTTCGTCAAAGCTTGGTTGAGCAGTTCCTTTCCGCCTGTGAAAAGAAGCTTGTAATGGTGGAATCAATGTTCAGATATTGATATCTCCAATCTTCTCGTAGGTATTCTGCCAGTCTATTTACTCCCAGTTTTTTTGGCCAGCGAAGTGATAGCTCGCTTGATAATGTGGAAGTGTGGAAACACTGGAAATGGTATTTTAGTTGTCGAAGCTCTTTTGGCCAGACTTTGAGAGCAGTAAAGAACAGTAGAAAAGGAGGATAGAAGAGCCAAGAGGCGACGGGAGGAGGCTAGAGGAGAGAAGAAGACTAGACTAGACAAGAGAAGAGTGAAGAACAGTAGAGGAGAGAAGAAAAGAGGGACTCGGAGAAAGAGGAGAGACGGAAAGAAGAGCAGAAGAGAAGGGAAGGCACAAGAGAATAGAAGAGAGAAGAGAAGGCAAAAGAGAAGACAGAAGAGAATAGAGAAAAGAAGAGGCAAAGAGAAGACAGAAGAGAAGACAGAAGAGAAGACAAAGGAAGAGGCAAAGATGAGAGATGAGAGCAGTCCCGGAAGAGAGAGAGGAGAGAGGAGAGAGAGAGAGGAGAGAGGAGAGAGGAGATAGAGAGAGAACAAAGATGGATAGATGGGTTGATGAAAGAGGATTAAGCAGCTCAAATTGTACCTCATGGATATAGTATGATGTTAGTATCATTACTTCACAGATTTTTAGTTGACTTTCACAGTCAATCAGGCACTGAGGCACCTTCAGCCTATCTATATAGATAATCAAATTGGCATCAAATTGGCAATACGGGACAGACGCTTGACGCCTGCGGTCGGGCTTGGGACAGATGCTTCACACCTTCAGTCACCCGTCTCTTGCGAGCCCTTTGGCATTCGCCCCTGGGTTTTGCGGTAGTAAATGCTAGTTCCCCCCACCACCAATAAATAGATACAAATAAAAATAACCAAACCAGATTTACAAAATGCCACTATCAAGCAGCAGATTCAAGCCCGAAATGGGCATCTTCGAGTACAACCCGTGTACTGACGGAACACAACAGATAATAAGAGTTTAAGAAAAAGGTTCGTACGTACTAGAAAAAGCAGTTTCTGTTTTTTTGTCTTGGGACATGGGAGCCTCTATTCTTCTAGCAAGTTTGACCAGCACTTTCGCATGACCCGGGCGTCGATTCCTCGAGTAGGTGCTTTCAATTTTCTCTAGGCAAGTCTTTTGCCTCTGGGAGTGCCTCTGTGCACTCACAGATTCTATGTAGATGTCCCACTAGCCTAGGGTGATTTCCATGGTAACTGCTGACCCAGACACCGGACCGATCCAGACAAAGGACCAGACAAACGTCTGGATTGACATCCGGAAAATCTACCCGACATCCGGACATCACCAGCCCCGGATCGTCCGGGTGGACTCCCGGGAAAGTGCTGCACCGCTTTTGTTGCCTTTTCAAACTTGGCACTTGAGTGGCCCACCTGTATGTGTTTTTTTAACTTTTTTATTGCTTATTTGGAACTCGTGTTCATTCGCCACATAGTTGTATCCAATTTTTTTTTTTTAATTCATGAAGAGCATACGGAAACTTTTGATCATTCTTCACTGTGCCTACGATTACAAAAAAAAAAATCATTAAAAAACGGCATTTTTCTTCCACATCGATGCGCCTTGTTACTAACCATAAGCCCCCCTTAGAGGCAATGATTAATAAGAGCGCCAGCTACCAAGGGCATGTTTGAGGGGGCAGAAGGAGAAAAGGGAATGAAATGGAATGCACATTGCCTTGCATAGCAGGTCCCACACACGGGGGTACTTTCCGAGCACATTCGTCTGCGAGCACTAGACCCCCACCAATGCAAATCGCCACTGGTTTACGGGTCCCCTGAAGGACACCCTTCTTCTCACAGCTTGCAGTTACTGTACCTGCCTGCAGAGGTTCATCAACAACGATTCGGCATAATATCCCATCCCGGGATGCCAAAAAGAAAACGAAAAAAAAAGGTGTCAAAAGGCAAAATGCAAATTTGAAGGCTCGAGGTCGAGGAACTGTTTCCCCTGATTTCCTGCCCCGGTCTTTCCCAGTTGTGTTTTTTCCAGATACATTCCAAATTCAGTTTGTAAGAGGGACGCTGGACCCGTTTTCCAGCAAGGTGATGCTCCCCACCAACACCAATAGATGGAGCCTCCCCCCCGGCGCTAGTGGTGTCTGCTCTTATCAGCACCACTAACACTGAAAGGGGCCTGTTTTTGGTATAAAAAAAAAATAATAATAAAAAAAATAATTAAAAAAAATTAGAAGGCTGAGGGCGTACTCACTCTCAGACTTCGTCTTCTTTTTTGTTTTTTAACCATCAGTACTTCCTAAAGTTGTGCCCATAAACTAGCCACAATTTTAGGAAACGTACGGGCCACTCCAGGAGCACCCACATTCATCCGACCAGAAACGTTTCTACTCTATTCAATTCCCGCAGCCAATAGCTGGGCCAACTACTGGTGGTTTAAAAGAAGGCTCAATGAGTTGGGCAGCTGACTAACATGGAACTAAGCTGGCTATACCTTTCTCGGCTTTTTGGCTAAACTCAAGTGTAATATGATAATAATATCTGGAAAAAAAAGAAAAAGAAAAGTGTAGTGTCTGTTCCGATCAGTTTAATATCTGATCCAAGAAAAACAAAAAAAGGAACAAGTGCGCCCACGGCACATTTTGAGTTCGTGAAAAAAACAGGCGTGGGACAAAAAGAACAGCCCACTTTCCCGTCTGGCAGCACGGCCGACCCTCGTAGCTATGACGCCCGGCCTGACACTGCAGCCGCGGTACTTTCATTGCCCTATTAAACCACCAGTACTTGGCCCAGCTATTGGCCGTGGAAAAAAAAAATGGTACAATTGTTTCTTGTTGGATGAATTTGGGCACTCCTGTAGTGGCCCGTACATTTCCTAATTGTGGCTTGTTAACGGGATGACTTAGGAAGTACTGGTGGTTTATGTTCAGCAGCGGCTGTTTTTTTTGCCCACACCTTTTGTTTTTGCCCAGGCGAAGCTCTGTTGTGACATAAACACACTCCCCCCTCTTCTCAAAAAAAAAAAAAAAAAAAAGGCTGCCYGCTTGTGTGGGTTCAACCCATGGTGTTCTTTAGTAAAAGGCGAAAGAATGGTACACTGCCATCTGAGTTGGGCGTGCAAATGGACTCCCTTCGACTTCGTCAAAACGTACATATTTTATTTTCTGAAAGAAATTGAAATTTGAAACCTTATAAATTGGCCCTATGTAGGTGGAAATTTTAAGCTCGTGCGGGTCCGCGCGTCCTCAAAATGCCACACCCCCTGGATGTGTCTGGACTTAGCTAGAGTCCAGGGGGTACGGCGTTCTGAAAATGCCATACCCCCTGGATGTATGTGCACTTAGCTGACATCCAGGGGGCAGGGCATTTTCAGAACGCCGTACCCTCAGGAGGTTAAAATATCCGCCCAAATTGGGCCAATTTCGGAGGTTTCATCTTTCGTTCAAAAATTAAAATGTCCGTTTTGACAAAACTGCTGTTACTACCAGATTCACTCAAAAAAGTCTGAGCGTATGCTGTAATACAAATATGCCACATCAAATATGCCACATCGTTGCCACTCTTTTCTATTCACAACAATAGAGGCCTCACTATTGAAAAATAGGACAGGCCCTGGCAGGCCTGCGTCGTATTAGACACAAGCTGTGTTGTGGTCTTCATGTGGTCTTACGTCGCCTTACGATAGTAAATACAAACTTAGGTCTTTGAGAAAAACAGTGCATCCATTGGGCAAGGATCTCAAATGCCCAGAAACGGGTACAACATTCTATAAACCTAGCAATATAGCAACATTTCACCCTTCCTATTCAAAATACGATAGAAAACCGTTTTAGTTCTTCTTACCAGTTTTTAGTACTTTTTACCCTTTTCTATTCAACATTGATAGAAAACACTTCTCCACTCAAAATCGAGTAGTGAAGAGAGCGCGCAGAGCTGACAGATCTCATTCCCAGAAACCAAATAAGCAGCCATAACAGATTTGCTGCAAAATCCGACTCCACAAATAGCATTTCCGCTCAGGTTGGTCGGTATCCAGCTTCAACAAACAGGCCTGGAGGCACAACCAGTTGAGTCAACCGCCAGAACCATCATCACTGACCACACAATGAACCCAATCGTGCAGATCAACGGCCGAACTGCTCCAATCACAACTGCCACAATGCGGACCCAATCACACAGATCAATGGCCGAAATTTCCCTACACTTACCCAAACACAGTGCACAGATCAATGGCCGAAATGTCCCTACGCTTACCCAAACAGACTCCCCAAAACAAACTTCCTTGGTTCCATACCACATTCTTTGGAGACTGGGCGCCACCAGTCCAAAATGGTTGATGGCACCATTCAAAACAAAAGAAAAAACTTCAAAAAACTTGAAAAAAGACCATGCTAGTCACTAGTGCTTCGGCAAGGCTTGGCACGCAGTTCTACTGTGTCTCGACAAAAAGAGGCTCGGTGACAGTGGGGTCCTCTAAGAGGGAAAAAACAACAACAAAAAAGAAAGCTCTCGCAGTGGTGGTCTAAGACGGCCAAAACAACAACAACAAAAGACTCCCAACCGCAAACCAAAAGAACAGAAAGAACTTAAGTAAACAATCTGCCACAAGTATACCAAAAAAAATTGTTGCTTTTTTATTCAGTCTTTTAGGTACTTTTTTTGTTCCAATAGGTCATGGTCAACGAGAACGTATAATTGGTGATAGACAAACAGGTAAGACTGCTATAGCTATTGATACTATATTGAATCAGAAGCAGAGATAGACAAACAGGTAAGACTGCTATAGCTATTGATACTATATTGAATCAGAAGCAGAACAATGCAAAAGATGCCTCTGAGAAAGAAAAGCTGCATTGTACGTATGTAGCAATTGGTCAGAAGCGTTCGACCGTAGCACAATTAGTGAAAAGTAAATCTTGAAGATGCTGTTTGATGTTGGGGTTGGGTAGATCCAGAGTACCAGCGTACTAGGGCAATCCAAGAGGAACGATTTGGATCATATTCGATTCTTTCTACCTTACCCGTCAACAAAGTGTTACGTTGAAAGTCAATTCTTCGCTGCAATCATTTTGCGTGGGAGCCTCTATGGAGAAGGGTGATACAAAAAATTGTAACGTGTTTTAGCACCACATCTTGTGGAAGCACACATCTTCACATAAAACTCCAACCGCAAACCAAAGGAAAAGAAAGAACTTGATAACAAAACGTGATAAAATTTTTAACATATGTTAGCAACACATCTTGTGGAAGCACACATCTTCACATACACAACTAGACGGTAGTGCAACCGTTCTCCAACCTGCATTAAGAAAAAGAAGAAAAAGAACAACACCTCATGCGCGCATGAGGCTCATACGACAGGCACACGTTGGTACAACAACAACATGCTCTGTTTGAACTTTGAAGTCAGTCCACACTCCCAACAAAATTCCCATCAGATAAATCTTAACTGATTCACAGGTACCAACCGGTCAAGGACGTGCAGGAGAGTTGAGGAGAGTAATGACCAATCGTCCTCATCACCATCCTCCCTCCACCTTGTTGACAAGTTCTTTTTCCTCCTCATAAGTGGCTGCAGAGTGCACACATCATCGCTCTACGCACAGTCGGACACATATGCGCAGTTGGGCCACCCTCTCAGTGCACACAGACATGGTTGTTTACCACCTCACCGTGTTGAAACATTCCTCTTCCCCATGCTACCTCTCCCAAAATCACCATGCATTTACATGAAATTACATCATTTACAAGGGCGGGAGACCAGTGCCAGGACAGGCTGCGACTACTTGTATGGGGACAGAGTACTGGCGTCAGAGAGACAGGAGCAGGTAAGCAAGCATGCCAGCAAATCTATGCGTTGGGGGGGGGGAGAGAGAGAGAGAGAGAGAGAGAGAGAGAGAGAGAGAGAGAGAGAGAGAGAGAGAGAGAGAGAGAGAGAGAGAGAGAGAG